ATTTAGCGACTCATCTGCACTGAAAATAAAATAAGTTGTTTACTTATCTTGTCATAGACACTTATACAATAATAAATAACTAAAATAATAACTACTTTTGGCCCTAGTGTCGAAAACTATTATTCCATGTATAAAATGTTGATGAACATAAATATCTTGGAAAAAAATTTTTGTAAATACATACTTCGTTTGGGGTTCTTTGATTCGCGATTTGGCAGCCGCCAGAAATAAGACCGCCGATTTCTTTATTTTGTCTTCACTCTCGGTGGCATATTGTTTACGAATGGCAGCCGGAACAAAAAAAAACACTTTAATGACGTCATAGGCACCAATTGGTTGAATGACAAGTAATTAATTGTTCTTATTTCAAAAATTAAAAAATAAACGTGTATTAACGTTTTTATTTAACACAAAAATAAAATTTTCTTTAGATTATTATTAGTTTCTGATTTTAAAAACAGGAAATAGTGTAAACTATCTTACCCACAATGGCTTCAAATAGTTTTAGACAGCAGAACGGCAGTTTTCTTTTTTTTCCTTGACCAGAATATAGTAAGGCTAACTTCCGGTCCAATATTTCAAATTGGATGTCATGAAGTTTTTTTACGATAGTAATGCTTGAAACTTCTGGAAATAACAAATAAAAATATTTATTTTCACTTCTCGTTTAACAGTTATATTCTATCGTAAACTGCCTTTTAGTTTTATGACGTTGAAAGATACATTTAAATTACAACTAATAAATAATAACTATCATAGTTACCAATTGACTTACCATTTGAAGATGGAGATTGAGAGCCCCACTCACACGGCATTCCACATGTGTTGAACAATTGGGCCCAGTTTTTAACGCGGCCCACTCTACTTCCGCATTCCGGGCGCTTTCCTGACCCATGAAAACCCAGCTTAACTATAATTTTTAGCGGAAATCTACAGGGAGTGGAGAGCAAGCCGAATCTAATGGTCTATTATCTAGTAACGTAAAACTATACTGAATTTCGGCGGCATTCCAAGTCCATTTTGACAAAGCAACATTTCGATAGGTTTGGTGTATTATCTAGCAACATATGTTACAGATGTATATAAATCTCATCAGCGTAAAATTATACAAATGCGTTTAATAGTGTATTCTCTACGCTTGTTTCAATTGAGAGGCCGTCAACTTAACAATTCTTCTGTTAAGGCTGGCTCGCTTCTTGAACAATGGTCAGACTCTTAGAATGGTCCAGCATACCTCAGTAGGTGCTACTATTGAAAATAAACAATGAGTAATGTTTTGCTATCTTAAAGTAGAAACATTATATTCAAGTTAGAACTAATAAATAATTTGCTTGAACGTGCCCCTGCGGTGTTGGTTCAATAAACACCAAATTTTCAGCATTTAATAATTAGCAGGATTTAGCAGTAAAAGAAAATTAACTTTTACATCCCGCTGCTTTCTGCTGCGGGCACGCAAAATGTATTTTTTACCATTAAGAAATGGTATATGGCTATATACCGTGGATATACATTAAATATAAATACCAATATTTTTTCATAATATTTAAGAAATATTTCTTTTTGCTATGAAATATTTACCATTAATTGACCAATGAAAATTGATATAATATGTTCTAAAGTTTGTTCACACTTATTAAAAATAATATATTGATAACGTTTTGGGTGTTAATGTTGTTTATAAATACAAAAAGTTTTGGTACTATGAAAAATTATTATTAATTTATGTGCTTCATGTTAATTAAATATTAGAAACAAATATTTTTGAAATAACATTTAAACAATTTTTTTTAAAATATTTTCTTTCGCTCTGAAATATTTTCTATTCACTGATCAATAAAAACTCAGATCATAAGTTCTAAAGTTTATTCATATTTATTAAAAATATAATATTAGTAACTTTTTGGGTGTTAGTGGTGTCATATATAGACACAAAAAGTATTA